GGCGCCGAGAACACTGTGGAGTCACCTGTGAGCAGGGGTGAGGTGGTGTGGATGGCAGGGAGGGCGCCGAGAACACTGTGGAGTCACCTGTGAGCAGGGGTGAGGTGGTGTGGACGGCAGGGAAGACGCTGAGAACACTGTGGAGTCACCTGTGAGCAGGGGTGAGTGGTGTGGACGGCAGGGAAGGTGCTGAGAACACTGTGGAGTCCCCTGTGAGCAGGGGTGAGGTGGTGTGGACGGCACACGTGTGTAACCGTTTGGAAAACAGTCACTTTATAGCGTTTGCTTTTTCAGGGGGAAAGGTCACAGCACATCTTTGAGAATTTGACTGAAGCCATTAACTTCCCCAACAACCCTTCCCCCAACGACAAAAACAAAAAACAACTGGAAATGGTGTAAAATGTCAAGGGCTTGTGAGTCACCTAAAGCCCACGTGCAGACCACCAAGGAGCTCTTAACCCTGAGTTAAGACCCCCGGGCAGAAAGGATTAGAAAATGTCACATTTAAAAATATATTTCTTATCTCCACAGCATATAAAAAAAAAACCAAGGATTATATAAGTCTTCAGGCACAGGAGCTAGCAGTAAATAGGAAACCAGGGTTGTTTTCTGCCTCAAAGTAACATCCCAGAGAGAGCAAAGGCAACTGGGCTCCGCAGAATTAGAAAAGAACTCTAGTGGGATTTCCTCAGAATAACACAACTCCCCAAGGCCGAGCTCCATTCCAACCAGCCAGCCTCCAAGTCCACAAGCCACACGGAATGAACAACAGCGAGGAAAAAAGCTCACTTGTAAGCAATACATTATGCAGTGTGTTTATTATCTGTCTCAGTGGTTCTCAAAGTGTGGTCTGCGGACGGCGAAGGTCTCAGAGACCCTTTCAGGGGGTCTGCAAGGTCAAAGCGATGTCAACATTACACTAAGACGTTGTTTGCCTTCTCCCCACTTGTCTTGACGATTGTGCTGCCAGAGCGACGGACCATAAAACTTCAGATGCTTCTGCACAAATCAAAGCAGTGACCCCAAACTGTCCTAGAAGTCACTATACCATTCACTGCCAAGCAGTCACAACCAGAAAGAAAAAAAGCCAGATATGCCTAAGATTGTCCCTGATGAAGTGATAACAAATACTAATTTTATTAAATCTCAATTCCTTTGTATGTATCTTTTAATATTCTCTGTAATGACGAGGCAAGTATGCATGAAGTATTTCTGCTGCACACCGAAGGATGGGGACTGTCAGGAGGAAAAACACTTGTGTGATGATGGAACAAGGCATTTTTTTCTTGGAATATCATTTTTACTTAAAAAAAAATTTCAGACAAACTGTGGTTATTCAGACTTGAGTATCTCACAGACATGTTATTAAAATGGATGAAGAGGGCCTATCACTTCAAAAAAACAATTGGCAGTATTCATTGCCAATGATAAAACTGGGCTTTCAAGCAAAAATGAGAAGTTCAGAAATTATTTATCTGCCACCTGAGCTTGACAACTTCCCAATACTTATAAAGATTTTCCCGATAAGATGAAGATGTTAACAATTGCGCGTGTGCGGTTTTGTTTTTATATGGTATGATAAGTCAACTTTAAGAAGATCTGTATAACTTAATATTTTCCAGTTAACCAATGCATGATGTTACAAAATTATGCATGGCTAAAAGATTAATTGAAAATAAGATGGATTTTAATATAATAGAGTACATGAAGTTCATTTATATGGTGTCAGATTCCACATTACAACTGACCTTTAAGAAATGATCACTTAACAAGTTTTAGTGTTGTATCAAAGAAGAATATCCACCATTATCTGAAAAAGCTATTAAATACTTTTTCCTTTCCAACTATGTATCAGCCTTTCTTCACATATTCAACAAAAACAACGTATCACCACAGACTAAATTAAAAAACATATTTGAGGATCCAGTGGTCTTCTGTAAAGACAAACATTGAAGATCTTTGCAAAAATGTAAAACAATACCATTCTTCCCACTAAATTCTTTTGTTTTGGGAAATATTTCTCATAAAAAATATTTTAACAGCAATGGCTGTTATCATCTTAAAATGATATTTTAGAATTTTCTGTTTTAATTTCAAATGTGGTAAACGTTGATAGATAATGGCCCATAAAAACAAAAGCTCTTGGGAATTCTCAACAGTTTTGAAAAATCTAGAGAAGTCCTGCGACCAAAAAGTTTGAGAATTGCTGATGTATCTTAATAATCCTCTCAACTCTATGAAAGTGTTATTATCATTCCTATTTTTCCAATGAAAATAATGAGGACCCTAGAGGCGAAATAAGGCGCCCTGGTGGTGCAGTGGTTAACGCTCAGCTGCTAACCGAAATGTCAGCGGTTTGAACCCATCAGCTGCTCCACGGGAGAAAGATGTGTCAGTTTGCTTCCATAAAGACCACCGCCTAGGAAACCCTGGGGGGCAGTTCTACTCTGTCCTGTGGGTCACTATGAGCTGGCATTGACTCGATGGTATACAACAACAGAGGAGAAATGGAACCCCTAGGTGGTACAAACAGTTCACACGCTTAACTGCTAACTGAAAGGTTGGAGATTCGAGCCCACTGAAAGGCACCTTGGAAGAAAGGCCTGGCGATCTACTTCTGAGAAATCAACCATTGAAAATCCCATGGAAGCACAGTTCTACTCTGACACACGTGGGGTCGCCGTGAGTCAGACCTGACTCCATAGCAACTGATGGTTTTAGCGATGGCGTGATCAGCTCCAGGTGGTCACTGAGCAAGGACGTCTTCATCATCCAAGAAGAACATCCTTCCTTGAGTACCATGATAACTGTCCAGGAGAATATGCCTCATGAAGCAGCAACAATCTATGCATCCAGTTAATAACAGTACTAACAAAACCTAAGTCTGGAGCCCTGCTGACGCAGAGGTTAACAGCTCGCCTGCTCACCAAAAAGCAGGGCAGTTTGAATCCACGAGCCGCTCCCTGAGAACCCCATGGCGGGTTCCACTCTGACTTACAGGGTCGCCATGGACTCCACGGCAATGGGTCTGTTCTGTTTTTCTTTTGTATTGTTAACTTGTCTGCAGGGTCCTAGCTCCAATGTGTCCCATTCATGGCACTTTGCTTCAAAGATACAACGAAGCAGATTGTTTTTCAAAATGAGATTTGGGGAGCAATCCAACAAAAAAGTTGTGTTCAACCAACTGCCACACAGCCATCAATTCCACTTGAAAAAGAGGGAGGAAAACAAGGATTGATGTTTATA